GTTTCACATTTTAGGGTCTGTTACAACATTCATGCTTTTGAACACCAAATTCAGTATTGAAACACATCGTGCTGTGAGTAACCCAAAAGCAAGACTGTTGAGGGCATCACACAGGAAATGTGATGATTTCACACAGGCGTGCTGAGGAGGGCAGGTCGCAGGGCTGCTCATCTCAGCTGCTTGGCCTCTGTTACAGTTCAGATCAGGAACGTGCCCCAAGATCGTGTGTTGGAGGCTTGGTCCCCAGTGCTGCAATGTCCAGAGTTGGGGCTCTGGGGAAGTGATGGGGTCGTGAGGGCTCTGTCCTCCTCAGTGGACTAACCCATTGACAGAATGATTTGATGACATTAGAGAGAGGTGGTTGAAGCTGTAGGGGGTGGAACCTAGTTGGAGGGAGAACTTCAGGGGTGTGCCTTTGGGGACTACATTTTGTCCCCAGCCAATTCTGCTTCTTAGCTGCCACGAGGAGAGCAGCTTTCCTCCCGCACTCTCTCCCACCATGAGGTCCAGCTTCACTTCAGGCCCAGAGCAATGACCATGGACTGAAACCTCCAAAACTGAGAGCCCAAACAAGTCTTTCCTCCTCCAAGGTGTTCTTGTCATTTATTTTGGTCACTGCGACAAAAATCTAACACAGCATTGTTATTAAGAAGCCAGGAATGTTCTCCTCTTCCTGTCACCTTCAGTGTCAGCTTTGACTGGGCCAGCTTCTCCTGTGACCAGCTGTCTACAGTGTTTCAGGCATTGCATTCAGACACCGCAGTATTGGGAGGGTAAGTTTTCTTCTATGTGTTTTAGTAGCAAGAAAACCATTCCCAGAAGCTTCCCTAGCCTACCTTACATCTTGCTGCCAAGAACTGGGTCACCTGTCCATTCCTAAACCAGTCACGAGCAAGGAGGGATAGCTTAAAGTCTCTTTGTTTCCTGGAACTTGGGGTGCAGTCAGCCTTCTTTTGATGCTCATGGCTTTGTAAAAAAAAAAAAAAAAAAAAAAATCCTAACAAAGTGAGAATTCATTTTAGAAGGAAGGAGCAGGAAGGCAGCCACTACTGGTCCCTGATTATCCATCCCATACATAAAGAGATCTCATTTAGGAAATGGAATCAGCATTTATGAAGTGCCTCCTACACTGTTAGGCCCTTTTGTTCAGTATTCCGCAGAGTCCTCCCCTCCACCTGGTGGGCAGCCTCAGCTTCCTTTTGCAGAGGATGAAACAGGCTTGATGAGGAATTGGGCCAGGACCACTAGGTTTGGTTTTATTCAGTAGATCTTTGATGAAAACTCAAGTTCAGTCCCCAGACCATGGTGATTCTTCAGAAAAATAGGAAAAGAATGGGGCCATGTGAAGAGCCAGAATTGAAGCTCTTCACAGAAAGGAGACCACAGTTTTTTAAAAGCTACATTGAAGATTTTTTAGATGTTCCTTGCCATGGAATTCTCCAGACCGAATTTTACTTCCAATTGAAAAGTATAGCTGCTGTAATTATAGAGGACTGAGGGCTCTGTGCCCTTGCTGCCTCCTCCAGGGCTTCTGGAATACCTTGAAAATACCAGCAGGCACATGCACCCCAGCTGGCCCAGGACCACTTTTGTACTGGAGTACCTTGGGTACCTGCTGGGGTGCATTTGTCTCAGAGGGTTTTGAAGATTACACACTTGTTTTGTAATTAGGACATTTGGCTCTTTGCACAGAGAAAAGAAAAAAAACAGCCCTAGAAAAAGCACTACCTACATTTGTAGTGAGGATATCTGCCAAAAGTGGGCAACTGGGTGGAGCCAGAGACATGGTCTTGAGGTCCCAAGATTCTACTTATTGCAGAACCTTTGTTCTTTCAGGGTGCTTTGTTTTGGTTTTGTTTAAAGCAGTTACTGAGCAGTCTTCCCAGAACCCTGCTAATATGGGGGCTTTAAGAAATATGATGCTTCCCAGCCTGCCATGGCCTTCTCATTTTTCTCAGCCATCTGCCCAACTCCTTTGCCCTTCCTTTCCTGAATGTGGTGCTTGGGTCCCCTGTTTAAAATGCTGCCTGAGAATTTATTTAAACTCCACCCATCCTCCCACTCATGTCCTGACTCCACAGTATTCCTCAGATCTTGAGGCCTTTCAGCGATGTCTATTTCTACACAACTTGTGTGACAGTGTTCACACTTCACCTGGTATTTACTACCTACAGCTTTGTGGTAGAAGGTTTTTGCTATGGTATGATGATTTTGACATGTCCCTTCTGACCAGGCTATAAGCTTCTCGAAGATAAGAACTAGGTCTTAAATGGGACCTCAGGCCTGTGTGAGAAGGTCGATAACATGTATTGTCATTCACTTCAGAGTGAGGCAGTGCCAGTGCACGTAGCCCAAGTGACAAGACCAGCAAATGGTAGAGTGAACACTTGGCACTCAGGTTGCCTAGGTTATGTCATTTTCACTGCACCAAGATAGCGTTTGGCAGTAACCATATTACAGAGCAGAGAATGAATGTTACAAGAGCTCAGAGACAGATGGTTGGTGTGCCTCAGTAGTTAACATGAGAAGATACAATTTGAGCTGGCTCTTGAAAGGTAGGCTGGATGTGAGGCTGGTGAGCAGTGACTGATGGGCCTGACCCATGAGAAAGCAGGGGTATGAGCCCCAGGACACAGTGGGAGGTGAGGTTGGAGATGTACAGAGAGGGTTCTGTACGGCCTTTGGGGAGCACTTCGCTGCATAGCCTGCTTTATATGACCCAGAGAATCTAACTGGGATACTCAGGGAACTAACTCCCTTCCTTTGCAGACCAGGAGCTGAGGAGGGGGTCATGTGGAAAACAGGCTTCCTCTTGAAGAAACAGCTCCTCAACCAAGGAAGAAATGTTAGGGTGTTATCAGACACTACAGGGCTGCTTTTGAGGACAAGGGTGCACTTGGAGTACATGTGAGCCCCAAATTTCCCCAAAGTCTTCCTTCTAGTATTGGGGCCTCATCCTTAATCCTGTGAATGTTCAACCCTTCAGCTAGGAAGCCTGGTGGGACTGCAAACTGAGCAGATCAGAAGCTCCAGCTCTTGAGTTGTGTTTTCAGGTATCTTGGCCATGCATCTCCAAGGGATAAAATTCAGCAGGGAAATCTCTAGGTTTCAGCCTCTGGCTTGAATTGGGACTTGAGAGGTTTACACTGTTATTTTCTAAGTTTTTCAGTGCCATTAAAAGTAGCCACCCATCCTGGCCCTGGGTCTCCTACAGCCACACCACTTTAGGTCAGCAGCAATGTAGTCTCTCAGAGGTAGGCCTTCAGTGGGCGTACCATCCCAGGTAACTTCCGGTGAACTAATTTTCCACGTGCCTGGGCTGCTCAATTGTCACCTGAGAACACCAGTAGAACTTGCACTCTTCTCTCCCCTGCCCAAGGCAGATAACCAATCACAGATCTTTATTTTCCTACTTCTCTGTAATTTGCAATAATCACGCCTGGCACTGAATTCTACATCGGTTAGGAACTTTTCACTGATATGTGTTGGAAATGCAGTCTGTTGTAAGCGAAGAAAGTATATTAGAAGAATATCATGGGATCATTGATTCACAGAAAGGTGGAGGATTAGTTTTGGGAAAAGGATTACAGTTAAAGCAATCTGGAAAGCCAAGAGTAGGAAGAGAGCAACCACTCTGATGTTTCTGGGCCATTGCTGGGAACTGCTCTGTACATTCATTCAACAGCCCTGGGTACTTGGCAGGAGGCAACAATGGACCCAAGTTCCACGCTCTGGTGGGAGCAGGGAGAGGGGACTTCAGGTCCTCTGCATTCGTGGGCTACAAGGCACTCCAACACTGTGGGAGATTCCCAAATCTGAAGAGGAGAGGGTGGATAGCTAAGAATAGCAAAAATAGAACAGGTAGATTTATAATCAGGCACCGAGGGAAGGAAACAGGAAAGTGTATTTTCCCATAAATGAAGTGCCTCATGTGTGTATAAATTCTTTTTTTTTTTTTTAATATCAGGGATTGAATTCAGGGGTACCTGGCCACTGAGCCACATCCCCAGCCCTATTCTGAATTTTATTTTAAGATAGGGTCTCACTGAATTGCTTAGCGCCTTGCAGTTGCAATTCTCCTGTCTCAGCCTCCCAAGCCGCTGGGATTACAGGCGTGTGCCACCGTGCCTGGCTGTATGTATAAATTCTGGAATAATATTCACACATTGGATTCTGAGATGCGCCAGGCAGTGGAAGTGTTGGGGATGGTATGGTCTGAAATGGGCTGCTCCTGCCTCAAGGTTGCACAGATTTGTGGGACAGCAAACGAGTGGAATTCTGAGACTAGGGTGTGCAGGCTCAGCTAACAGTGCGAGGTCCTTGAGGAGAAGTGGGTGGCAGTTGGAATATGGAGTAGTCTTCAAGTGTGTCTTTTTGTCCTCCTACTTTTTAATGTCCAGACATGGATTTTAAAAGAAAAAGAGAAAAAGAGTTTTATTTTTGATCAAGGAAAATCAAGATAAACGGTGATTCCTCATCAGGAATCACTTTTCTTCATAGCAAATATTGTGCAGAGCAAGAAAAGAGGGGGGAAGTGTGAATTTTTTAGATCTATAGCTAGATAAGGACATCTGGCTGAAGGTTTAATAGCTTAGAACTTCCAAGTCTTATGAAACTCTATGTCCTTTTTCCATCTAAAAATAAAAAAGTTTTGCTGGGTGTGGTGGTGCACTCCTGTTATCACAGTGGCTCAGGAGGCTGAGGCAGGAGGATTCCAAGTTCAGAGCCAGACTCAGCAACTTACAGAGGCTCTGAGCAACTTAGTGAGAGTCTGTCTTTAAAGGGCTGGGGATATATAGCTGAGATCAATCTCCACTACCAGAATAAATAAATAAACAAAAATAAAATAACACACATGCAGAAAGAAAACTTGAGCTCACTCATTTGGGACTCTGCATTTCCATTCTTTGTCTTCTTCGTTCCTTTGTGGAACATTTCTTGTTGGTGATTCTTTCAGTGCATTTTTTTATATTGAAAATAGATATTTTATTTTGTCTATACAAAGCACACTTTCAAAATACAAATCATATATAATATGTAGGTATAACATACAAGGAAGTATAAATATAAACACGTATGTGTGTAAAATGTCACTGGGTTCGGATTTTTCTCTGAATCTGTTCTGCCTTCCCCTGCTCCCCTTCAGTGCACACAGAGCACTGGAGACAGGGTTGTTAGGAGCACAAATGCTGGAGTCTTCCCTGCAGATATCTCCCAAGCCAGGAGGGGCCTTAGGATGAACTGAGAGCCTCAGGTTGACTCCTGTCCTCTGTAAACTACAAGTCGGAATAGGGACAGAATAGATGGTCCAGTGGAGAAGCTGTCCTGAGTCAGTGTGAGTGAAACCAGCAGCTTCCTGGAGCCTTTGGCCTCCCAGGAGAGCTTCAGCAGCTTGGAGTTTGGGAAGCAGGCCCCTGGGTCCCTGAGTGGTGTCCGCCTGTGTGCTGGAGAACCTACTCACTAAGACAAGAGGCACACAGTCCATATGGGTCATCACATTTGATGATCTTGGTGGGCTTTTTCCTGGTGCCCAGATCCTTGTGAATCTTCCAGGCTCTCTTTAGCTACAATAAAGCTGGCTCCTTGGCTCCATCCTTTGCTGGGCTGGTTTCCAGGAGTTTCAGAGTTTTGTGGGTAGTTTCCCTGGTCTTCCTCTCTGCTGCTGCTCCCCCTAGTCATTGGCATCACTTCCAAATTCTCCATTTCAACAGCAGTTGGCTGGAAAATTCTCCTGCGAAGCCAATGATTTACAGGTTTTGAAAAGAAGACACAGTCATCCTCCAGTCAGAGATACTTCTTATTGAAAATGTATGTCCAGCACTGGGTGGGTGACATAAGCAGACATAGGTCCTGCCTGCAAGTGTCATAAAATACCTAATCCTCTGTGGTCTGTGTTGCTCAAAGACTGGCAAAAACCTAAAGTGCCTAAATGTGCACATGGTATCTAAATCCTATTTTGGTATTCTCAATTCCTCATCTGCAAAGATTCACCAGTGCTGCTGGAGAAATTCTCACCCTTGCTTCCCACTGGACAAATCCTCTGCCTAAACAGCCTTGCAGGTGGAGGGACAAGAAAAGGAAAGAGTAACCAGGGGCCTGGTTGAACTAGGCTTGATCATGCTGGTAAAAGTGATTTAATATTCATGAAGCTTTTGAACCAGTTCCTAGAATTTAAGAAATATCCAATAAATGAATAAATAAATCAGTTCCTGGATAATAAGAATAGAGAGACAGAGTCTGATTATATTTGCCTGCCTGTCATGGATCTATCTCAGTGTTCAGGCCCTGAGTGGCTACCTCAGCACTTTCTTCCATGGCTTATGGAATGTCCCTCCTGAAGATGAACAGCTCCCTAGGCCATGAGAAGAGAAGCAGTTTGAGTTCCTTGGAATGGGAGCTAAACTAAATGAGGATTTTAGGTCAGTTTGCCAAAAATTTGGTAAAAAACAATTTGTTGGATGGCAAATCTACCTATTATCCAGTTTAAAAAAAAAAACAACAGTTTATGTAGAGTCAATTCACAAAACGACCAAGAAATTACATATATTTAACAGTTCTTCTTTAAGACATTTATACATTTTTAATATAGTAAATAAATTGATATTTTCCTCTTAAGAGCATATTTATTGGTTGTATATATCAAAGTAACATTCTTTTTTAAGAATATATTTTAATGTACTTATTAGAAAGATAGTATGGACATTCCTGTTAATATAGTCAATAAATATATTTACTAGATATAAGTTCTTAAGAATATAACTCCAATTACAGCATTTTATATGAAAATTAATTATAACAATATTTTGAAAGTCCTTTAAAAAGTAACTTTCTATTTTGTCGACATTTAGTATTTTTGAATTGTTTCAACAAATTCTTGAGTAATAAATAAATCATTTATTATGTTTATTGTATTTCTTATCAGTTGGTCTGGAATTATCAGCTTTTGAAGATTTATGGAATGTTTTAGATAACTGCTTTTCATTTTGGCTTGACAGTTTGTCATGGACTGTTTATTTTTTTCAAAATCATGCTCAAAGGGTCATATAATTTTATATTGACATAACATGTACTATCTTATTAGTAGGAACTAAAAATGAGTTTTAACAAATCTGACATCCATACATCAAATAATGCTGAGGAAAAATTCAGAGCAACTTATCAATATGGAATACTGAAATACTGGTACTGACAGAATTACAAAATGGGGTTTTGTATGATATTGGGGTTTTGACAAAAGAAAGATAAAATGCCGAAAAATGAAAATATAAAAAAAAATGTCTGCATGGTGCAGTGGCATATATATCTGTAATCCCAGCAGCTCTGGAGGCTGAGACAGGAGGATTACAAGTTCAAAGATAGCCTCAGCAACTTAGTGAGGCCCTAAGCACTTAGCGAGATCCTGTCTCTAAATACAAAATAAAAAGGATTGGGCATGTGGCTCAGTGTAAGTGCCTCTGGGTTCAATCTCTGGTACCAAAAACATACAGACAAAAAAACACAAAAGAACAAATGTTGACAAAAAACAGACTTTTCATAAATGCTGAACTGCAGATTTCAATGATTAGAAATACAGAATTAATTGCTGGTGAATGAATATATTTATAAGAAATCATTTAAAAATACATATGAGAAGAAAATATTGATGAATATGTCATAAGAAGAACTGATACAAATTGCGTATTCATCCAATTTGGCGTTGGGTGTATTCTTTCTTTTCTTTAGGGGCAGGGGTGGGTGCTGGGCTTGAACCTACAGCCTTGCACCACACAGTCTAAGCACCTGCTCTATCCCTGCGCTGTATGCCCAGCCCCATCCTTTCTTTCTGACTTGGCAGATTGACCCCTGCGTGGTCGACCTGGTTTCTGCTGCCCCCATTTCAGAGCAGTGGTCTGAGAACTGTGGGAAGTGAAAGGCATTCTAGGGCTCTCTAGGACTCTCTAGGACTGGCTTAGTCCTGCCCCACTCTGAAGCTCCTTTTGGCTGATACAGAAGGGGCTCAGCATGAGGGTCTATGGCTGGGAAAGGGATTCTGATTTGTGAGGACATCCCAGAATCATTCTGATGTAGCTCTTTTCTCCTGGGAAGAAAGAATCTGGTCCTGTGGGTTCTCTTGTGCCACTTACCTTAATTTGATGCACGTCACCAGGGCACACACCACAAGCACTACAGAAAGTGTGACAGATGTAGAGATGATCACTGTAAAACAATAAAACTAAGCTTAAACCTTATGAGAATCCCAGGATCGTGTTCATTGCTAAGAATTGGTAAACTCTTGGCAATTTACATTCTTACAGAGTGGTCTAAATGCCTTCCCATTAGCTTGCTGTTACTTGAGGGCCAAAATGCAATTTAATTTATTCCACATCTGGGCAAAAATGCAAGCATAGAAAAGGTGTTAGAAAAGAAATAACAGAAAATTAACATTAGTTATCATTATCACTTAAAAAAAGAAGTCATATAATTTTACTTATTTATTTATTTATAGCAGAGATGTTGTACTCAATGGTGAACTATGTCCTCACATTGTCTAATAGGCTTGACATGCATTTACTGTCTGTGGAGAGGTTTATGGGAAAGGGCGAGTGGATAGAAATGATGGTTCTATTTTCACAATGTTTCTTCCTGTTTCGTTTTGAATAAAAATAAAAACTGCAGAATCCAGAGCAAGAGAGAGGAGGGCTCCTGGGTCAATGATAAAACAAAGCCATTGGAATTCAATGACCCAGGTCTTGAGCCTCTCTGTTTTGATTATAGCCAAGCAAAGTTAGTAAAGAAATGGAAGCCAGAACCATGGAAACACCTGCCAAGTTCTCTACCCTTTTGCTTCCTGTAGGGTGTGGATTGGAGAAAAAGGAAGAGAAGAGGGGAGGAAGGAGAGGGCGGAGAAGCTGGTGCTTATGCGGAAGGCCACTTAGGCCAGGAGCTCTCCCACTGACTTCGGCCCATGGTGCTGATCTAAGCTGGAGAAGGCAGCTGAGACAGCCAGAGCCCATGTTCAGTAAGGATGGAGAAGTTATTCCCTGGTAGCTCTTCAACAAGCCAGGCCCAGCACAGGGTAGCAGCGCCCACCACGCTGAGACCACAGTGCTGTGTGCCTGTGTCAGATGGAGATGATTTTGAAGGAGATCATCAACCATTGCTCCTGGGAAGGTGTTTCTTTTTCTTTCTCACTGCCTAGGCAACTCTGAGTGTCAGGTTCAGGGCTGGGAGAGTAGCTCAGTGGTAGAGTGCTTGCCTAGCACATGTGAGGCCCTGCATTCCATCCCTAGTACCACCAAAAAAAAAGAAAAAAGTGTTGGGTTTGAACAAGAAAATAAACACTTAATTGTTTGAGTTCAACATTTAAAATTCCCAAACTGAAGTGACATTTGATTTGTAATGAGAAATCTGCATTTCATAGCAGCATGGGGCCATACCTGGTACAGAGTAGGAACTTAATTTATACTGAGGGTGGATGAGTGACATGACAGGAGCAGCCCCTGTCAAAGGCACAGTAACATTCTGAAAAATAAACCCTTCACTTCTAGTGTACTAAATGGGCATGGCTGTGTGAAGGCCGCTGTATTTTGCTTGCTAACCTCTTATTTTACAACCAGGACTCTTTAAGAATAGCTTCATTAGGGCCAGAGATGTGATATTGGAACAATTGAATAAATTTATTGACAAAAAGGGCTGCCAAGTGAGCCAGTATATGTTTAAGAGAATGGAGCTTTGAATCACATTTCTTAAATATTTATTAAAATGTGCAGCACTCAAATTTATTTATTCATTTGCCTACCCATTCAATATTTATTGAGCATCTGCTGTGGACCATTTTCTACTGAATTAAAAGAGCAATTCTTTAAATCGATGATAATCATTCATTTAACTTACTTTAAAAAACAAAATTATGACAATGGTAGTATCAAAAGGTAGAGTAAAATGTCAATTTTTACTAAGCAACAATAATGGCCAAGCATTATTAATATTTTTCTACAGAGATGAGCTCAACTGATTGCTTACTCATGCAGAAATAACAGCGGCCCCAATGTCCAATAAGCATCTTGGCCATACGTAATGACTTCTCATTCACAGGGTGGCTGGGGTGGATGGCATATGACATACTTTGAAGGCACTGTTACTTAGAATTTTTAGAAAACTATCACAATTTTTATTTTAGTATCTCTTATTAGCAGATAAATTTAGCTCTCATTTTCATGCCTAGTGACCATGTACTCTTATGTTTAAGCAGCTTAAAGGAATTAAACCTTATTCATACATGAAAGACAGGTCTTTTTTTATCTTTGTATTTTCACAGTTCCTCCCATAGAATTATCTTTGTTCATTGTAGGTGTTCAGTTAATGTTTATTATGTCATGTTTCAGACATTTGAGACAATTTTTGGTATTTTAACACAGTGAAAGTCCTAAACTGGAAAAAAATTTGATGACAGATTATAGCCTATAATCAAATAGTTTGTTCAAAGATCTACTTAGAAAATTTTGCATGTAGGATTTTATCCTATAGGTATACTCTCACCAAGAGGTTTACAATTGCTGTTCATAATATAACCAAAGTATACAAGTAATCACATGCCCAAAGAGCAAACTGGCTAAATAAGATGTAACAGATCCATAAGATGGAATATTCTATAGTTGCTAAAAGCATGAGGTGGGATTTATGTACTAATAGGGAAGGATCTCCAAGATATGCCATTAAGTGACAACTAGGGGCAGAACAGTAAAAAACAAACAACAAAAACCCAGCTGTCAGCATCATTTACTTTTTATGTACTTGTTTATATACAGCCTGTGTGGGAGGATGCACAGGTATCTATTTCCTTTCTGCAAGATTTTGAGTCAGAGATAGGATTTGATTTTTTTTTTTTTTTTTTTTTTGCTGCAGATCCTATGTAACTTTTCATTTTTAGACCTTTTGCAAAATATTACCAATTTTTTAAAAAGTAAAAAATGTAAAGCTATGAACAAAGATTAATGTAGATTGTGATATTAGGAGAAAAATTAGGTTGGCTATTTACTGTTTTTTTTTTTTTTTTTTTGTGGTACCAGAGATTGAACCTAGAGGTGCTTAACTACTGAGTCACATCCCTCTTTTATTTATTCTGAGACAGGGTCCCTCTGAATTTCTTAGTGCCTTACTAAGTTGCTGAGGCTGGCTTTGAAGTTGTGATCCTCCTGCCTCAGACTCCCAAGCCGATGGGATTGCAGGCATGTACCACCATGCCCAGGTACTGTTCTCCTCTTAAATCATGAACATATTTTTGTTTCTATATCCCTGTCACTAAATGCCACAATTTTTCTCTGAAAATATTCCCAAAGTCTTAAATGTCTTGAAAAAGTCTTGAAAATATTCCCAAAGTCCTAAAATGTCTTGCCTTGGCTTATGTCTTGATCCTTAAAAAAAAAAAAAGAATTCTAAAAGCAATTAACTGCTAATATGCCCAATGCTTTTTTTTTTTTCCAGATGACACCTGACACAGGTAAAATGGGACCACCAAAAATGTGAACTTATGACTAGAAAATAGAAATAGTTCTTACCCATTTCAAATTACAGTTTTGTTACAGTTGTGTTGTTCTTTTTATTCCTTTGAAAGCTCATCAGACTCTTAAGTATTAGGTTTTTTCTTGCCATCTGCATCTGTCTCCCAGCCTCTTGGGTTTTTTTTTTGTTGTGTTTGCAGTGCTGGGGATGAAACCCAGCCCCTGGCAGGCTAGCGCTCTTCCACCAAGCTGCACACCCTGCTCTCTCCCTGCCCCTGGATCTCCCTTCTTTCTATTGTTCTCTCCTCTCTTTTCTGAGCTCTCTTCCGTCTTCATCTTTTTCTTTCATTCTCACACTTTTTTCTATTTTCCTCTTAGACTCACTTGCACATTCTTTTTCTTAGAGTCCTAATGCTGTGCGTCTAGGGTAAAAAGCCTTCTTTACTGAGAAATCTTGGTAGTCTCTCCGGACAGTGCACCATGCCCACCCTGGGAGACATCAAGGTAGGTTCTGACAAAGAATGACTTCATGTTAGTGGCAGCATCAGGCACTTGTGGCTTCCTAACAGGCCCTGGCATGAGTCTAGCCCTGCTGAGAACTAAGTAGCTGATCCACAAAGCCCTTGGTGCATCAGTTCCTTCAACATCAGTAGCTTGACAGTGAGAAACCATCACTATTAAGAAAAACAGTTATATCACATGAGGAATGCCATGAATGTCCCCATCAGATAATGGAGACATTTCTGAGAGGGAAAGGGGATGCCTCCAGTGAACATGCTGGGACAATGGCATGGGCCGTCCAGGACAAGGACTGTTCAACACTCTGTGTCTGCGATCACCCTGGTCATAAATATGCTGGTCAAAGGACAGTACTTACCAGTGGTCTCTCTGGAGCTGTATGAAGAAGCATCTGCAGAGAAGAGAGAACAGCTCAGTCAGGGTAAAGGTACTAGTATATCATGAAGCTGGAGAAATAAGGGACAACTGAGCTACCATCTTAGACCCTTAGGAGACTCATAGCTGGCATAACCAAACTCTTCTTAGCAAAGAACAAGCAGGGTAAATTGACTGAGGTGCTGGACCATGCCTAAGAGTCGGACATACCTTCCAGAAGGGCCCTCCCGTGGTGGAGAGTGCATACGGCATTTAGAGTCCTAGTCCAGGCTCTGCAGTGCTGGCTAGTAAGGTTAGCATGTCAAATCTGGGAGGGGGATTTCATTTTCAGCTGTCCCAACTGGACCAAGCCAGGTGGAACATCAAAAACAGAGACCAGGCAAGGGGCCTGTGGGAGGCAGAGGGCAGGAGGGTAGCTCCATGAGTCACAGCTCGAGATTGAAAAAAGCCATGCAGTTATCTTGGGCCAGGTCTCAACCCAAGTCTCAGAAGCAGCACCTGAGGAACTGGCCTCTCATGCAAAGCTAATGCTAACCTGGTGTCTCATGGGAGTTTGAGGGTGTAAGTTCCAAGGTCTTTGCTGTAGTCTGGGATGGGGCTTGGGAGGACTCATGGCTGCCTACACTTGTGGTTCCTGAGGAGGTTGGTTGGGGTGGCATCGACTGGGAGCCTGGTACCATAGCTGTCTCTGTGGCCACTGTGGTGTCTGACTTGGGAGATAAAACTGCTGGCTCTGTAGGAAATTCCAAGACAGAACATAAATAAAGACTAGTGTCTTCTCAGCTCCAGCAGAGGGTGGACCTAAAGACCTACTTTGATGAACCCACCATGGCAGCCCATTCACTCCCAGCAAACTGTCCTTTAAGTGGGCAACATATCCTCCATTTGAGCCATGGGATCTGTGATAACTCTAAAAAATACAGTTATTTACTGTGGTGCATAGAAAGAAAAGATCCCTCAGAGTTGAGTACCTTCAGCTGTTTCCTAGAAAAGCTCATGAAATACTGATAGACTTGGCTCCAAAACACAAGTAGAGCTGTATTTGCTGAAGGCATCTGGGATGCTGATTATCTTTTTTCATCATGCTCTACATGCACAGTTGTGGCCTGAGTTCCCATTCTTTCCCAGCCACACACATTGTGAGAAGTCCTCATACCCTCCAATCTTTTGTCACTACCTCACGTGCACCTAACCCTACCCAAGCTGCCCACACTCTAGGTGCCCTGCAGATCGAGACCCAGGAGCATTCACATCCAATCACCCACAGTCACATAATCTGTGTTAAAGGTTTCTCTTACATCTAAGGTTTGTCTCAGCAACAGCTATCTGACCAAGTGTTGAGGGCATGGAGGCAGGACTGGGAAAGGTTACTTGGTCATTCTTATCTCTCTGGTGAACTGTGTGTGATTCAGATCAAAGGAGTTTGGGAATTACCCTCAACATAAATAGAGCCAATACTTCAACCCCTTACTTTTGTTTGCAAGCAACCCATTACAAGGAGGAAGCCTCCCTTCAGCCTCTCTGTCCTGCTTTGAGCAGTGTTCTTCAACCTTGGCTATCCAAGAACTACATGGTTCTTGTTCTATAGCCTCTGACTCCAAATCATTCCCTGGACCATGTGGAGTTTCTTGGTATTCTCACTGTGCCTCCAAGGCTGAGAACCAAAGCTCTGGGAAGGTGTGCCTGAAGAGAACAGAATGAATGAAAAGAAAGATGACCACATCTGGCGGGAAGGAAGGAAGAAGGAGCCAGGAAAATAAGGGACAAATGAATGATTTGGCCCTAAAAAAAAAAAAAAAAAAAAGAGTTAAATATAAAATAAGGGTGCCATGGGATATGAGGCATATTAGCCAAGATATTTAGCTTCCAATGTTTCCAATTGAGAAATTGTTGAGGAAATTGGGCTAAAAGATTACCCAAGACTCAGTTAAAATACAGAACATTGGTGGTTTCATGCAGTGCTTCTATAATAGAGCACCATTGTTAATTTGGTGATGCTTAGGAACAAGGGGTGACAACTCTTCCTGGGTCCCTCACATTGCTACACATCTTGCAAACAAGGGCCTGATAGACCTTTCTCTGGACTATCTGCGCAAGGACACATATATTGCAAGTACCTTTGAAGACAGAGACAGTGCCTCTTTCTAGGAAAGGGCAGACATATTTGCTGCCAATTATAAAACATTCAGGTTCCCTGAGCTCAGCCTTCCTCCCAGACAGTGCAGCCTGCTGAACAATGCAGGCATATATTCAGGCCCATCGATGTTGCCCTGTGAGCCTGGGAGTCAAGGGATTGTTGCTAACATGCTGATACTCTTGCTACTTGTGCACCATGTGAAAAAGTTATTTGTTTACCCTACAAGAATGTCAGCACCCATGACAAAGTGGCAGACTAACAAACAAGTGAGGTAAAATTTCAGACTGTTTCCAATTCTTGACAATGATAAATGTATACAACTAAATGTGATTTGGCATATTAATAGTGGATTCTAAATACTATTATTTATGTACATATGAAATCTAGATCTCAAGCCATTTTGACTTAAACAATTAAGCCATTATAAGTCTTTTTATTTTAATAAAATTTTGCTCTATTGCTGAAGTTGTCGCTGGAACATCATCAGAGGTCAATGAATCTGCAGGATTGGTGGAGAAGGAGGGATCTAGATGGTAGTTCTTAAAAATTTCCCTTTATTCCTACCTTTTCCAGAAGGGGAGGGACTCTCTGGCTGTGGGGTCACCCTTGCCGTCACTACTGTGGAGTGTGGCACTGGCCTTTGGTGAGTCAGGGAGGGGTCTCCTAGAGAGAGGACAACCACATGGCATTTATGATCCTGAGCATAAGCACTAAGGTGGCATCAGAACTGGATATAAATAAAAGATCGATACATAAATTTACAATGGAAATAGCTGGCTTCTTAGGACAGGTTAGAAGCACAGGAAGGAAACAGTGTTTCTCAACCCAAATGCAAAGACAGATTACAAACAATTTTTCTAGCATTTCCAAAAAAAGACTGCACAGGTGAAACATCAAATTTATTTTTGGTTGGAATACATCTGATATCAACTGAGGTTTATAATCCTGGTTTTCCCACAGGAAAATGAATGATTAAAATAGATTCCATTTGCCTAACAGAAAAAAAAAAATCATCCAAAGCATAAGGGGTTGGGAAACACAATGAACAGAGTTGCTAGTGGTAAAGGTTTGTGAGGGAGGAACCTTTGGTCCAGAGGAAACCTAAAGATGCCTCTAACCTGTGGGCTCTAAAATTCTGGTTCAAAATTCTTTGTTTCCTTTCCCCTCTTGGCCCTGTTCAGAGCCTCAGTTCTTTTCCATCCTACTCATTCACCCAAAGATGTGGAGTTTGAGTCAACATAATTTTCCCAACACTGAAAAAGCCCTGATTTTTCCACTTCTGGCTCCACAGACACTGCTTGTCCCTGGCCACCCTGGGTTTTTCCCTTCAACTGTACCCAGTGCTGTGGAGTGCTGTGTTCTCCAGTCCTGCAGTTCTTGAAACTAGTGGTAGGATTCCCTCCTTCCCTTCTCTTGACATCTGTATAACTCATTCTGAGCAGCTGGAAAGGGAGGGGGGTAACCTAACACTACAAATCCAGCAAGAAAGTGTAGCTCTTCTGGGAGTTTCCAACAGAGAGAATTCGCTATAGGAGCCCAACTTCCCATCCTTTGTCCCAGAGAGGAGTCAGACATCTACACAGATGCTCTATGAGAATGTATCCAGCTGCTGCTGGGCAGCAGTGAGCATGTCATGAATGTTTGTTAAATCAGAATTCTCTTGGAAGACCTGAGTTAACTTTTATTTTCCCAGAGTAATAAGGGGAGCAGAACAGGACTTAAGTATTTCTGGAAATAACACTGAATGGCTTAGTTTCCACTCCAAAATTATTTGGCTTCCTCTGGGATGGCAGTTCAGTAGTGGATAGGTAATTTTTATTTTATTTTATTTTTTAATTCTTGCAACTTCCTCATCTCCTTGCTCATGAGCATTGGCTGGACACCAAATATGGTGACTAGGCCAAGAAAAACTCTGCCGTGTGGGCCTACTCCAGCCCACTGGGTTGGATACTAACCATCAAGAACTCAAAAGAGTTCAGCTTCTCATGAGAAATCCAAAAAGCTCTCCAGCTAGCAAGCACACCCTTGTTAGGGGTGAGATTGAGAATCAGAATCAGCCAATTCTCTTGCTGATTTCACAACCCACATGGATAGTAGTAATAGCTCATATTTACCAGGCTCCTTTTAATCCTCCTACAACCCACAGTGTTGACACCAGGTTCATTTTCTAGATGACCAACCAGGGTTCCAAGAGGCTAAAGGCCTTGCCAGAGGCCTCAACGTGGTAAGCAGCACAACCAGTATTTGAACCCCAAATTCTGTGACCCCCAACACCGTGTATCTCCATCTCTGGGAGATGCTGCTCAGCCTCGCATAGGCGTATTTAGCCTTAGACCCCAATACGGATGGATCTCTCTGCTCAGAGACCGGCTCGCCCGATTCCCACAATGCCGCTGTGCTCTGTGTTAAGCCTGGGCAGAAGGGGTGGGGACAGTCCAGGGACTGGCTACTTACTGATGCACTTGAGACTGGGCGTGGTCCAGTGGGCGGTGTTCGTGGTCTTGTTCAACACACACTCCGTGAGGCTGGATGTTCCCGCCTTCCGCTTGAAACCAGAGTTACAAACGTACCGCTCCCTGGAGTTCAAGGTGTAACTCTTGACCCGGATGTCTGCATGTTCAACAGACATGGGGGTAGGGCACGTGGTGCCTGTGAAAGTGCACAAGAGAGGAGAGATGAAGAGACCTGGGCATGTTAGGAGGCATTCTCCAGGGAACTTGCAGGCAGCGGGAAGTGATTGTATAGCCAGGGTTCACTTATCCAGGAGGCCCCTCCAAGCATGTGGAAAGTGATCAGGTCTCCCCTTGTCCAAGGCCTGCCAGGAACTTGTCTTAAATGTCAGTCATCCAGACAGCCAGAGATAGGGGAGTCATCCCCATGGCCCACCCCTCCATTTTCCACCTGTTTCCAGCCCTGGCTTGCTCTCAATCTGGACCAAGCCTCTGAGCTCATTTGGTGACGTCACATTTTACTGATTTGATGGCCAACAAATAACCTTCACAGGCTTTCCCCGTATCTCCTCCCCTGCCCCCTCAACACAAGCAATTGGTCCATTTCCACAGGGCAGCCAGAATAATCCTTAGAGATGAATATTTGATAGCTTCACTCCTCCCTGGCTGTGTAGTTGCACCCCCCCTCCACAGAAAATCGTAATTAAGCTTCTCCAGAGTCCCTCACCATAACTGTTCTTAGACTATTAGCAAGAATTTCTGCAAGAGTTGTCAGGTGGGAAGTGTGTTTATAGAAGCAGACTGAGAGAAGGGAGACTAACTCAAGGCCTCTAGCCAAGCCCTGCCTTCACAGGGCTTCAAAAAAAAAAGCAATCCGATCCCAGGGAAAGTCGTTTACAATCCAAAAGATAAGAGTGAATGGTGCAAATTAGGTTCCTTAGGTTCCTCGAAAACCAGCTGCAGGAGGGGGGAGGGGGGAGGGGCAGAGACTACACTACACAGGATTCTCCTTTTCCCAGGCACAGAATTCACACACTGAGTGTGTCCTTGAGTTATTTTTGTATTCAGACCTGGGTTGGGTACCCATTACAGTAGAGAAAACCTACTTTTATGTGGACTTCTGCAGATGGTGAGCCTCTGAGCCCCTCCCCCTACACACTGCGTATAAAGTTCTAAAAATTTCTGGACTTGGGGTTCAGAGGGACAAATTAATTTACGCAAAAGCTGCCTCTGGACCTGGTTGCAGTCAGCAAACCTGATTCCTGCTAATTCCTCTGTGCCCAGCCTCATCTGTCCTACAACAACTGCCTGCTGCTCTTAAGAATAAAAACATAAAAACTATAGGCTTTTCTTCAATGTATGTTTTTGGCATCTTTGTCTAGTATGAGATAACTGTATTTATGTGGGTTTGTCTCTGTGTCTTCTATTCTGTACCATTGGTCTACATGTCTGTTTTGGTGCTAATACCATGCCATTTTTGTTACTGTATTATAGTTTAAGATCTGGTATTGTGATGCCTCCTGCTTCACTCTTCTTGCTAAGGATTGCTTTGGCTATTCTGGGTCTCTTATTTTTCCAATGAATTTCATGATTGCTTTTTCTATTTCTATAAGAAATGATGATAGGATTTTAACTGGAATCATGTTGAATCTGTATAGCGCTTTGGGTAGTATGGTCATTTTGACAATATTAATTTTGCTATCTAAGAGCATGGGATATCTTTCCATCTTCTAAAGTCTTCTTCAATTTCTTTAGTGTTCTGCAGTTTTCATAGTAGAGGTCTTTCACCTCTTTTGTTGATTCCCAAGGGTTTTTTTTTTTGAGGTTACTGTGAATGGGGTGGTTTTACTAATATCTCTTTCAGAGGATTCATCACTGATGTATAGAAATGCATAGAAACGGATAGAAATGATTTCTAGGTATTGATTTTATATCCTGCTACTTTGCTGAATTCATTAATTAATTCTAGAAGTTTTCTGGTGGAGTTTTTTTGGATCCTCTAGGTATAGATTCATGTCGTCAGCAAATAATGATAGTTTGAGTTCTTCCTTTCCTATTTATATCCCTTTAATTTCTTTCTTCTGTCTAATTGCTCTGGCTGGAGTTTCAAGGACTATGTTGAATAGAAGTGGCGAAAGAGGGCTTCCCTGTCTGTTCCAGTTTTTATAGGGAATGCTTCCAATTTTTCTCCATTTAGAATGATATGGGGTTTAGCATTAAGAATTCTCAAGGCTCTGTTCCTACTATCCCTAGTTTTTCTAGTGCTTTGAACATGAAAAGGTGCTATATTTTGTCAAATGCTTTTGGAGAAAAGATAGCCTCTTCAACAAATGGTGCTGGGAGAACTGGAAATCCATATGCAGCAAAATGAAACTAAACCCCTATCTCTCACCATGCATAAAACTCAACTCAAATGGATCAAGGACCTAGGAATTAGATCAGAGATCCTGCGCCTAATAGAGGAAAAAGCAGGTCCAAATCTTCATCACATCGGATTAGGCCCCGACTTCCTTAACAAGACTCCTAAAGTGCAGGAAATAAAATCAAGAATAAATGGGATGGACTCAAACTAAAAAGCTCTTCTCAGCAAAAGAAGCAATACTGAGGTGAAGAGAGAGCCTATATTTTGGGAGCAAACTTTTGCCATATGCACATCAAATAGAGCATTAATCTTCAGTATATATGAAGAACTCAAAAAACTTAACACCAAAAAAACAAACAGCCCAATCAATAAATGGGCTAAGGAGCTGAACCGACACTTCTCAGAAGAAGATATATATTCAATCAACAAATATATGAAAAAATGTTCAACATTTCTAGTATTTAGAGAAATGCAAATCAAAACTACACTAAGATTTCATCTCACTCCTGTCAGAATGGCACTTCCATTTTGGGGGTGCCATATTTGTTGTTGACTTTTGGCTGTTGTACTTTTCTTCCTTCTTTCTTTCTCTCTCTCCCACCAATTCTCTGGGTAGTACCTTGTTGGAATCCCTTAAAAATCAAGAATACAGGCAACAATAAATGTTGGTGAGGATGTGGGGAAAAAGCACACTCATACATTGCTGGTGGGACTGCAAATTGGTGCAACCACTGTGGAAAGCAGTATGGAGATTCCTTAGAAAACTTTGAATGGAACCACCATTTGACACAGCTACCCCACTCCTTGGTCTATACCCAAAGGACTTAAAATCAGCATACTATAGTGACACAGTCACAGCAATGTTTATAGCAGCTCAATTCACAATAGTTAAACTGTGGAAGCAACCTAATGCCCTTCAATAGATGAATGGATAAAAAAAATGTGGTATATATACACAATGGGATATTACTCAGCATTAAAAGAGAATAAAATTATGGTATTTACAGGTAAATGGATGGTGTTGGAGAATATCATGCTAAGTGAAGTAAGCCAATCCCCAAAACCAAAGGCCAAATGTTCTATCTGACAAGTGGATGCTGATCCATAATTGGGGGGACATGGGAAAAAGGAGGAATTTTAATGGGGCAAAGGGGAGGCGGGGTGGGGAGTGGGTATAGGGGTAGGAAGGATGGTGGAATGAGATGGACATCATTACCCTAGGTATATATATGACTGCACATACGGTATGATGCTACATCATGTACAACCATAGAAATGTAAAGTTGTACTGTAATTGTGTACAAAAAAAAAGAAAGAAAGAAAAACTGTAGACTGAGGATGTGGCTTAGTGGTAAAGTGTTTGCCTAGCATGTGTGAAGCCCTGAGTTCATCCCCAGCACTGCAAATAACAAATAAAACCCTGCAATCCCTTAAGAAGTCCTAAGGCTCTGTCAGATCCAGCCCTGTCTGCCTCTCTAGCTCTCTTTGCCCTGGTCACACCAGCCTTTGCTTTCCCTGTGCCACTCACTCCCCCCACCCCAGCCCACCACCTGCTCTTGGCCACCTGTCTCTACCATCCTTCCTGGCTGACTGCAACTGCACCTCCTCAGTAAAACCTTCATTCACCTCCTATGCTTCTGTGTTCTTTCCTTCTATAGACTTTTCCACAGTTTATATGTAAGATGTAAAGATTATATAATTAATACACATCTTGCCATCTGCACCACTCTGAGCTATGTGAGGGTAGGGGTTCTGTTTGTTTTGCTCAACATTATATTTCTGAGCCTAGTATAGAAGCCGAAAATAGTAGGTACACAAGAAAGTTTGCTTAGCAGGGCATGGTGGTGAATACCTGTAATCCTAGCTACTTAGGAGATTGAGGCAGGAGATCACATATTTGAGGCCAGCCTTGGCAACTTAGGAGAACCTATCTCAAAATAAAAAATGAAAAAGGGCTAGGGTTGCATCTCAGTGATAAAGGGCCCCTGGGTTCAATCTCCAGTACTGGGGAAAAAAAAATCAAACAAACAAACTTGTTTTAAAAATGAATGAATGAGGGCTGGGGATGTGGCTCAAGAGGTAGCGCGCTCGCCTGGCATGCGTGCGGCCCGGGTTCCATCCTCAGCACCACATACAGACAAAGATGTTGTGTCCACCAAAAACTAAAAAAATAAATAAATATTAAAATTCTCTCTCTCTCTTTTTTAAAAAAAAAAAAAAGAGAGAGGGACTTGCTAAGTTGCTGAGGCTGGCTTTGAACTCGCCATCCTCCTGCCTCCGCCTCCTGAGAGGCTGGGGTTACAGGCATGTACCCAGATAATAATCAGTTAAAAAAAAATGAATGAATGGGGCTGGGGTTGTGGCTCAGTGGTAGAACACTTTCCTAGCACGTGTGAGGCATTGGATTCAATTCTCAGCACCACATAAAAAAAAAAATAAAGATATGTGTCCATCTATAGCTAAAAATATTTTTAAAAAATGAATGGATTTGGGGCTGGGGATGTGGCTCAAGCTGTGTGCGCTCGCCTGACATGCGTGCGGCCCGGGTTCGATCCTCAGCACCACATACAAACAAAGATGTTGTGTCTGCCGAAAAAACTAAAAAATAAATATTAAAACTCTCTCTCTCTCTCTCTCAAAAAAAATGAATGGATGCTTTCTCTTCCTTAATAACAGGCTTGAATCTGACCACCGAATGCAAGTGAGTTCAATTTATTTTATTCCTACCTGTATAGCCAGCTTATTTGATTACTGCCACATTGTCAGAAGAAACTAGGAGAGAAGTGGACTGCCTTGAATGGTCTGCTTTCATGATAGTTGGAGTTAAACTCAGACTC